CTTACTCTCACCGAGACCTGGATCAAACCATGTGACAATGCTACCCCGTCTGCTCTCTCAGTTAACCACACTTTCTCCCACACTTCTCGTGCATCTGGCCGAGGTGGTGGAACGGGCATGTTACTTTCCAATAAATGAATATACAGTCGGTTGCTACCCATCACTAAATACAACTCCTTTGAATACCATGCCATCCAGGTAACTGTACCGAAAAAATTCTTATTGGTTGTCATATATCGCCAACCAGGTCAACTCGGAGACTTTCTTGATGAACTCGACACCCTGCTATCCTCCATTCCTGAGCACGACTGTCCCACAGTGGTCCTTGGAGACATGAATATTCACCTGGACAATCCCAGCTCATCAGGCTTCCTGTCACTAATGTCATCATTCGATCTAAAACTAGTACAAAGTCCTCCAACTCACAAAGCTGGAAAAGCACTTGACCTCATTTTCAGTAGAAACTGTGCCGTAGACACAATCTCTGTCACACCGCTGCATCTTTCCGATCATTACTTCATCCATTTAAGCATGTCTCTACAAGGGAGGTCCACTGCTTCCTCCCCAGTGGTCTCATTCCACCGCAACCTCCGCAATCTGGCACCCAACCACTTCTCCTCTCTTGTTGCCTCCACTCTTCCATCTCCCAGCACATTCTCTGCTTATGAAGTGAATGATGCCACCGAGTCACTCTGCTCTTGTCTTAACAACTTGTGCCCTTTAGCCACTAGACCTGCTAGATCCTCTCAGTCGCACCCTTGGCTAAATGATACCCTCTGGTCTCTACGCACCAAACTTAGAGCTGCGGAACGGAAATGGCGCAAAACAAAAGATCCTGGTGATCTATTGAAATTTCATGAATTAAGTCGGGTGTACACTGCGACTTTTTCACTTTTTTGAGCCGATTTTCCACTCGTGCGAGAATCCACGAGATCGGGGCGAGTTTAGCGCCGAGCGTCGTGTAGTGTACGGGGGGTTACGAGAGGTGATTAACACCACATGACCAGCTACCGATCAGCAATCGTGAGCTCGCACGGACTTCTGGCGTGTTTAATATTTTGCTCGTCCCTCGTGAGGATATCGCACTGTTGAAGCGGCGCTGTGAGCAGCTGCGACCCAAAAGGTACCAGAACCGCTCACGGCGCATGCGCAATCCTGCATCTACGCCGCTCACCCGCTATTTCCCTAATAACACACGCTGTTCGTTTTTATTTCTACATGTTTTTTTTACTCACAAAGATTGTCAAGAAAGCGTGTTTGTCGTGTTCATGTCAAATTAAACTGATCACAAAACACAGATTTACTTCCTTTATTTCGTTTTCCTCATCCAACCCCCATAAATCCCTGTGTGTCCTCCTGCAGCACTCCCGAAGGACAACAGGCAAAACAAGACAAAAAAGTCTGACGTGTTGAGTAAAAACTGCTATTTTTAGCATATTTTTAGGGCCGACGTGTTGCTACCAGACGTACAGTGTGAGCAGTCAGGTCGCATCCGAGGACTGGGTCGTGCAGTGTGAGCACATGACTCGTGAGATCTGCTCTGCGAGGAAGTCGTACAGTTTGAGCTGAAGCTGAGTGCTACGAGTGAAAAAGTCCCACAGTGTACGCCCGGCTTTACTGTCCTCATTCTCTGCCAGCATCACTGATGCAAAGAAAGCTTTCTACACTGACAAAATTCTCAGCTCTACTGACTCTCAGAAACTATTTTCAACATTCAAAACTCTGCTCACCCCTCCATCTCCACCTCCTACCAACAATCTATCAGCTGACACTTTTGCCTCATTCTTCACTGACAAAGTGGCAGCTGTAAGCAAACAGTTTACTCAACTGGCCACTCCTGAACATTCGCTACCACAAACTCCTTCTAGTCCAACCATCTCAAGCCCTACTGCTTCATTTTCCTCTTTTTCCCCTGTCACTGAGAACTGTGTGTCCAAGCTTCTCACGTGCAGCCGCCCTACTACATGCCCACTCGACCCCATTCTGACTAAGCTCCTCCTGTCATGTGCAGAACTCAGAAGACCCATGAAGACGCCAACACAGTAAAAATATATTAAAAAAATCTTTTATTTTAAGCAGAGTTACCAGGAGGGCGAGGCTGGAGACAGAGTCGGTAGGCAGGCTAAGGTCAAAAAGGCAGGCAGAATACAAGGCAGGGGTCAGGCAAAGAACGAGGTCCGGAGGCAGAGATCAGGCAGGGTGAATTTGCTGGAGAATACTTCACTGGCAGAGCTGTAATAATCTGGCAGAGACTGGATAGCAGGATGGTTCTTTTATAGCAGGGGAAGCAGGTGTGTGAGATGAGCTGAGGAGTCAGGAGCAGGTGAAGTGGATGAAGCTGATGAAAGGAACAGGTTGTGGTTGCCAGGGAAACAGGGCTTGTCAGGAGCTTGGTGAAGGGACCAGGTGAGCTGAATGAAGGTGAATTGAGGGTGAAGGATGGGAGTCATGACACCTCCAAGCTATTGCTGCTACGGTAGCCGCAGCAGTCACACATGTGATCAACGCATCACTGACATCCGGTACATTTCCCACCTCTCTCAAGCATGCTCAGGTTAAACCGCTGCTAAAAAAAAAAAAACATCTCTTCCTCGAAATCATGTGGAGAACTACCGACCTATCTCTCTCCTCCCTTTTCTGTCCAAAATCATTGAAAGGGTGGCTTTCAAGCAGATCACAGAATACCTCTCACAAAACTGTCTGCTTGACCCTTACCAACCTGGGTTCAAAAAGGGCCACTCCACTGAAACTGCTCTGTTAGCAGTGACGGGATCCTTAAAAGAAGCTAGAGCGACTGCCAAATCCTCGGTGCTTATCCTGCTCGACTTATCGGCTGCATAAGACACCCGTCAACCATGGCTTCCTTTTGTCAACACTCTCTAGCATGGGCATCACAGAGAAAGCACACGCCTGGTTTGAATCATACCTCACAGGACGATCATTCAGTGTCTCTTGGCTTGGACAATCCTCTACCGTGCACCATCTTGCCACAGGAGTCCCCCAGAGCTCTGTACTAGGACCTCTTCTCTTTGCTATATACACCACCTCCCTGGGTGAGATCATTCGATCACATGGCTTCTCCTACCACTGCTATGCAGACGACACCCAGCTCTATCTGTCATTTCCACCGGACGACCACACTGTCTCTGCACGAATATCAAACTGTCTCTCTGACATATGTCGCTTTATGCTTGCTTAGTATGAGGGTTGCTGTATAGTCACTGACACTAGTCAGTGACTTGATGCAATTTGCTAGGTTCTTTATATAGGAAACATAATTTCTGATTGGCTTAATGAACTGACCTGAATTGGAATGTTTATTATGTGAAGTGCCTTGAGACGACTCTTGTCGTGATTTGGCGCTATATAAATAAAATTGAATTGAATTGAGTATTGTGGTCACTGGTGCAGTTACAGCTTTGGAGCACAGTTCCACTGCACTGCTAAACGAGTGATGTCTGCAGGTTGAGGATGATCGTCTGGGACCTTTAACCCTCCCACTGTCTTCATGGGTGACCCCGCGAGTAAAGTTGACCATTGAGCAGGATTGATGGTTTATCTCTTGAGGTCCATGTGGCAGGCGTGAGGTGGTGCGCACTCCTCACCCCAGCCATGTGGACCCAAGTGATAAACCATCAACCCTGCTCAATGGTCAACTTTCCTTGCAGGGTCACCCATTAGGACAGTGGGAGGGTTAATACTGACTCTTGTCAGTTCCTGATTTAGATTACAAATTGTCACATCACTCAACCTTTACTTCAGTGCACGTTTTATTAAACTAGTTAATATTAACGTCTCCCATAAAGTAGATTTCTTTCTCGGTCACAGATTGTAACATTATAAATATCTCCTCAAGATATTGAATGTGTGAAATTGGCAGTCTGTGTTACCCTATCCTAGCCTACCGATGTTGGTTTAATGTGAGGTAAAAGGACTTGGAGCCACAGAGCTTCGACCCCTGGTACATTTATGTCCTTTCTTAGTTTGGATGGCAGATGTTCCACAATATAAATTGCCACACCCCCTCCACTATATATGTTTTATCCTACTATTTTAACCCCAGCATTATTTATAATAAATGTGTTTCAAAAGTACCAAATGCTGTCTAAACCATTTTCAACTAAAATAGAATCATCTGCCTTATATTTTAAACTGCGGATATTTAAATGGGCAATTCTTAATCCCCTTTTTGGTAGCTTAAGCATCTGACAAGGTCATGCTCAGAACTCTTAGGGTGTTTCTCAATGTCAAGGAACCTCACCTTGATGTCTTGGCCCCGCCACAGTTGCCTAGGAGATAGGTCATCAGGAGCCGCCAAGACGTATTCCAATGTTCATGTGCTACCGCGGCATGTGTTCTCCATTTGTTAGCCGTTTAGCTAGCTGAGCAAGGATACACGGGAGGTGTCTTGTAGCCTAGCCTTGGTCAAAACTTACCCAGAATACACCGCAGTATTTTCAAGAGGATGGTGGGTCAGAATCCGGCAGCTACTTTGGGGGCAAATTTCATGTTTAAAAGTAAGTCGGCTAATTTAAAATGTTTATTTTTTTTTAGATCCGGAGAAGTTACCTATGGTTGGTTAGTTGCAGCTTCGGTGGCTAGTGGGTAGTAACTCACTTACATATTTAATTTAATAAACATGTACACAATTTGAAAAGTAAAAGGATCATTATATATTTATATTGAAACTGATACGTATAAAATATTAACATTATCTCCCGTGTCACGTGACGTTACTTGACCGCCGTGGAAGCCGCGGTCACATGATGCAAGTCTGTTCCATTTAACCGTTTTCTTTGACCAAGGAAGGACCGTGTCCTCGTAAGCAAGGCGCCTGGCCTCGCAAGACATCGCCTCGCAAGGCCAGGCGCCTTGACATTGAGAAACACCCTTAATGACAAGAAAAATCAAATACAAAGCAAATCCATTAGGATTTGAGGGTTTTTAATGTCCCTGAGAGGAGAAAAACTCCCCACATGAAGACTGCCTGTGTGTTTCAGGTACTGGCTCAAGGGCCCGAAGGCTGGCACCAAGGAGGTCATCCTGGACAACATGATTGGTTACCCTGACAACATCCGCCTAAGTGACCATGGGACATTCTTGGTCGGCATAACAACTCCCCGCTTCCAGAAACTTCTGCCTCCTTTCCTGGATATGCTTGCTCCTTACCCAAAAGTTAAAAGCTTCCTGGTGAAGGTCGGTGTTTGTTGATTTGTTTGGAAATGGTGCGTTCATAAGCCGAGAGCTAATGGCTGATTGTGATCAGGTCTCTGGTTTTACCTACTGTGATGTCAGCAGTTTTGGTTCATTTTGGTTTGATAATTTGAGATGTTTCAGCTTCATGCATTAAAGGTTCGATCTCATGCTATTTTAAGCCCTTGAGAACATAGGTAGGCACAGAATGTGATCCAATAAGATGTTTCTGAAGGGCTTAACAAGATCCGGGAACTCTTATTTTGAAAGGACCGTTCCGGCAACTGTCTGCTAGGATCCAGTGTTATGTCGATATAGACCTCCGTACAGATCCAGAATGCCAGGTCCTCGGACCCCCCTTCAGTCCCGGAGCCGATGAAACAGCGTCAGCAGTACGACAGACTAGTCTTTGGATTGTCTCCAGGTAAAAAGCGACAGTTGGTTGACAGCGTCAGATGGACCCAGAGGGTCAGTGAGTTCAGCTTTTATTCTGAAAGGAACCGTTGCTTGGTTGGTAAAATGCAACAGATTTTATCCAGCTTGTTGGTTCTTTGCTTAAAACGGAAGTCTGGGTGGCCGGTCCGTTACTTCTCTTAGCATGTGGTGAACTGATCTAAGATGGCGTGGGAACTGGTTTTATTAATCTGGATGTTTTGATTTATGGTCGAATCAAAGTTGGCAGATTTATAAACACACATAGACTATGCCACGCTTCAGAAAGGAAGGTTCTGATTGGATGAGAAAGAGCCATGTGTCATGCGTTTACATTAAGTGTGATCAGGACGTCTAGTGCAGCTAAAGTCATATTACTCATTAAACTTGCTAATCATAACATTGTCATTTCACAGATTGGCAGTGTTGAGAAAGTTACTTTAAAAAAGTAATTAGTTATAGTTACCGATTACTGTGTCAAAAAAGTAACTCAGTTACTTACCGAGTTATGAGATTATAAAAGTAACTAATTACCAAGAAAAACAACTACTTAGTTACTTTTTTCATTAAAGAATGCAAGAAAAATGGGTTAATTGAACTTAATTTACTATAAATGACTACAACAGTGAAATATGAATGACTAATGACTGGAACATAATAAAATGTATGTCCAAATGTTTTTTACAAACCTGAATAATTTAAATAAGCACGTAACAGGAGGAACTACTAACAGGATCATTACACTTATCTAGACTATTAAAAGGTCACTGTGTGATATTTAACAAGACCCCAATCAGCTAAAATTTAAAATAGCAAATAGAAACACCTGTAAAGGTTCCCGAGCCTTTAAATGGTCTCTCAGTCTAGTTAAATTACATAAATTAATGTAATTTTGTACAGTAGTTTAATTTTTCCAGCTTCACATAATTGTGTGTTTTTAGCAGCATTTCTGTTGTTGGTAATCTAGTAACGGTTAAATAAATAAATAAAATCCTTTAAAATGACACTAGAAGAGGCACAAGCCTGATGGAGGACTTACATTTACTAACTTGGGTCAGACCCAACCACAGAAGAGCTGAAGCTGGGTGGTAAACACACACAGGTAGTTCTAATAACACCTGAGCTCCATGACGTCTGAGACTGATGCATCAGTGCTACAGCGGGACTAAAGACGTGATCAGAAACAGGTTACAGCTGGATGATCTAGGAAGGTAGAAGATCAGGACGTCTGAGCGGTGAACAGGTGAGCGGACCTTCGGGACATCCCGCTGTCACGCTAAGAAGGGCACGGCTGCAGATCCACGCCTGCAGCCGTAGATTTTCATCACGTCTTCCTCGTTCTTCACGGCCGTGATGCTCTTGGATGAAAACATCTACCTCTTTAGCTCCTGATCAGCTGATGACAGCTTCAACACACCGCGCTGCTTAACGCACGCATTTCCTTATCAGTAACAGAAACGATCGTTTTGATAAAAGAAAACTGTAATTAATTAGTTTGCTCGTTACAGAAAGAATTGCATTTTTAGTAACGCGGTTATTTTAAACGGCGTTATTCCCATCGCTGCTCTGTTGGGTCTACAGAATGCAGCGACTGAGACAGTGAGGGTCTCCGCCCACCCGGCCAATCACCATCGTGTTTGTAAGTGCGTTACCGACACCTCTCTCTCCCTGGCTGCAGCTGAAGTGTGGCGGTCAGAAAGCCTCACGCTGCTGCTCAACGTTCGACCAGCACATAGTAACGCACAACCTTCCGTCCCCAGTAACGGTAACGGCGTTGCAACAGTGGGAAAAGTAATTAATTAGATTATGTCATTACCTAAAAAAGAACGCAGTTAGTAACACCGTTATTTTAAACGTCATTATTCCCATCACTGCAGATTGGTCAACATCTTATTATTGACTAACACTTTGTTTGATTAGCTTTATTAAAAATAAGAGTTCTTTGATTTATTAAAAAGAAAGAGTCCTTTGTCTTCATTCTTGGGCTGGAAAGGAAAAGTTTTAGAAGCAAATGCATGAGACCTTGAGAATAGAACAGACTTTATTGTAATTGCTCATGGTAATTAAATTACAGATGGTCCGCCATCAACAGTGCACAAGACAACAAATGACAATGTCAAAAACCATAGAGGACTAAAAACAATTTAAAAACATTTAGCAACAACAAGAAAGTACAACCAGTGATTCGGATCTGCTAAAACAACAATTTAAAACAGATGAGTCCACATTACTGATGGGGATGTGGGGGGTTGAATGGTGCTGTTGTGTTGAATGTTCTGATGGCCCAAGGGAAGAAGCTGTTGGAAAGTCTGGTGGTGTGTGATCTAACTGACCTGAAGCGGCACCCTGAGGGCAACAGTTCAAACAGGCAGTGGGCAGGGTGGGTGGGGTCACGGAGAATAGCAGCGGTTTTCTTCAGGCAGCGGGTTCTGGAGATGGCCTCCAGGGATGGCAGGGTGCAGCCAATAATCCTCTGGGCGGTGTTTATTGTCCTCTGAACAGCCCTTCTGTCCTCAGCAGTGGAGCCTGCATACCACACACTCAGGGAGTAGGTGAAGGTGCTCTCCACGGAGCAGTGGTAGAAAGCCAGCAGCAGTTTCTGATCCAGGCCACACCTTCTGAAGACCCGGAGAAAATGCAGCCGCTCTTGAGCCTTTTTAACCAGAGCTCTGGTGTTGGCAGACCAGGACAGGTCAGCAGAGATGATGGTGCCGAGGAACCTGATGGAGGGGACACGGTCCACACACTCTCCATTTATGAGGAGAGGGGCGTGTGTGTGACGGGGTCTCCTGAAATCCAGAATGAGCTCTTTTGTTTTTTGTATATTCAGAGTGAGGTTGTTATCTGAGCACCACCTTGACAGATTACTGACCTCTGCCCGGTATGCTGCCTCATCTCCGTCTGTGATGAGGCCGACCACAGTGGTGTCATCTGCAAACTTGAAGATGGCAGTGGATGGTTGGGATGCGGTACAGTCCGATGTGTACAGAGTGTACAGTAGGGGGCTCAGCACACAGCTCTGAGGAGAGCCAGTACTGAGCAGGATGGAGGAGGAGAGATGGGAGCCAAGTTTAACATGCTGTGGTTGATTTGTGATAAAGTCTTTTATCCAGTGGCAGGTGGAGGGAGGGATCTGAAGGCTCAGCAGTTTTGAGATAAGAATGTCTGGGATGATGGTATTGAAAGCTGAACTGAAGTCAACAAAGAGCATCCTGACGTAGCTTCCTCTGGTAGCGAGTAGCGAGCATGAGCAATATCTCAAGCAGATAAGTTCTTGCTGAGGAGAGGGTGAAAATGACTTTTAGGTGGAAAACCGTCATTTCATTCCGTTACAATGGTTCAAACTAGGGCTGAAACGATTCCTCGAGTACCTCGAATAATTCGGTTACAAAAAAATCATCGAGTCAAATTCTCTGCCTCAAAGCTTCGTTTAATTCATGTTTAATTAATTCATGGCTTTACAATCGCCCGTGGTCATGTTTCACCCGGACCGAAATAAGTGACGCACATACACACTGCACTGAATGCACACGCGAGTAGCGAACGCAACTTAACTTTCTTTTAAGCTATGGCGGACAGCTCACACCGTACGTCTGGTAGTAACACGTCGGACCTAAAATGTGCTAAAAATAGCTGTTTTTACAACACGTCGGACTTTTTACTGTGTTGTTATTGATGTCCGTTGTCCCTCGGGGTTGCTGCAGGAGGACACGGGTATTTATGAGTGGCGGAGGAAAACGAAAGAAAGTAAATAAATGTTTTGTGATCAGTATAATTTGACATAACCACGGCAAACATGCTTTCGACAATCCGTTAGTGTGAGACAAAAAAAGTGTAGAAATGAAAACGGACGTGTGTTAATAGGGAAACAGCTGGCGAGCCATGTTTGCGCATGCGCCGTGAGCGGTTCTGGTTCTGTTTGGGCCGCAACCGCTCGCATTTTTTTACTGTGAAGTAAAGTTGAAGAGCTAAAGTTTTGAAAACTAATTTTGAATAAAACTTGAAGAATAACTGGCAACTGCTTTCTCATTTCAAGAGGTCTTTCATATTTTATAACATGCTATTTGATATAATGGTTTAAAAATGCAAAAGAGTAATTTATTAGAGTACTCGATTAATCGATAAAAGATTCGATAGAGTACTCGATTACAAAAATATTCGATAGCTGCAGCCCTAGTTCAAACTCGCAACTGGATGCAAAAGAAACAGATCTCGAGGGGGAACACATATCAACGTAACACGGGAACGTTTTATTAACAAATTAAGCACTGTGTATATGTATATGATGAAAAACCATTGGCACTATTGTCATTTATCTTAAATAGGAGTTATTTTCATCAGCCTGAATTCATGACTGGAAATAAAAGGGTAAGTTTGAGTAAAACTCCGCCCACGTCTCTCTGACAAAGCACACCTGCAACAGCCTGGCCTTGGTAGTCAGGTGGTTAAAGTGACTGCCTTTCATCTTGTTGTGCCAAGAGCTGACGCCAGTTCGACTCCCGGTGTAGGCAGTAATTCACTTAGCCAGCTGAAGCCGATTTAATCCATCCATCCATTTTCATCCGCTTATCCTGAGTTGGTTCTCAGGGACGGGCAGTAGCCTAAGTTGAGGGGCCCAGACTTCCCTCTCCCCAGCCACTTGGGCCAGTACTTCTGTGAGAATCCCAAGGCGTTCCCTGGCCAGGTGAGAGACATAGTCCCTCCAGCGTGTCCTGGGTCTTCCTTTAGCCCTCATCCCGGTTGGACGTGCCCGGAAAACCTTACCAGGGAGGCGTCCAGGAGGCATCCTGACCAGATGCCCGAACCACCTCAACTGGCTCCTCTCGATGTGGAGGAGCAGTAAATCTACTCCGAGCCTCTCCCGAATGACCGAGCTTCTCACCCTACCTCTAACGGAGAGCCCATCCACTTTTCGGAGAAAACTCATTTCGGCCGCTTCTATACGCGATCTCGTTCTTTCGGTCACTACCCAAAGCTCATGACCATAGGTGAGGGTAGGAACTGTATCCCAGCCCAGCATACTAACCACTGGACTACCAAGTCTTCTAAATGACACCAGTCGCCTAAGCCACATATCCAGAGGAGGCAGGTTTCAGATCAGAGACTAGCATCCTGGAGAGGAGCAGAGCCTGATGATGCAATTCGTTCCCATTGATGCTTTATAAGGATTTTCAAAGTAAAACTTTAAATTTGCTGCTGAAACAGGAAATTGCTAGCCTAGTGAACTAGACCAAAGTCTTGCTTTGCAAAGTTTGGTCTAGGAATGCTCCACTGGAACCTCTGCTGCCCCAACAGCATTCTGGCTAGCCAATCACAGCTCTCTAGAGGGGTTTCAAACACATAAAGAGCTGTGATTGGTCCATAATGGTGGGCCAATCATAGTGCTCTATCTGCTTAGTGAACAAATCACAGAGCTTTATCCGCTTTGTGGGCCAATCATGGCACTCTATATGCCTGGTGGGTGGGATGATGCAACAGAGTGAAACGAGAGTTTGTCACATTCATTGTCCAGTGGAATGCGGAGATCATTTGAAAGACAACGGTAGAACCCGCCCCACAACCGAGAGCCGTCAATGGAGCGTTGCCAGACTAAATAATACATTTAGTATTTCCAGGCTAGGAAATTGCATGAATGCAGCCAATATATATATATATATATATATATATATATATATATATATATATATATATATATATATATATATATAAAATTTTCACAAGGAAATAACATCACAAGGTAAAAAGTAGGGATGTGTAATGGTGAAATTCTGGCGATACGATACATATCATGGTGGCGCAGTGGTTAGCACTGTTGCCTCGCAACACGAAGGTCGCAGGTTCGAAACTCGGCTGCGGCCTTTCTGCGTGGAGTTGCGTGTTCTCCCCATGCATGCGTGGGTTTTCTCCAGGTACTCCGGTTTCCCCCATGGATGACAACATGCCCTATAGGTTATAAATTGTAAGTCGCTTTGGATAAAAGCGTCTGCTAAGCACATAAACATGATACAGAGACAAGACGATATATAGTATATATTACAATACATTCAGCCAGTTCAGATGTTATTAGCTATTTTTTAGATTTGGACTGAAATATTGTAAGAAAGTTGAATAAACAGTCCAAACTGATTTGCAACATGTTTAACGTGAAGTATCTTGACTTGGTTGCTTTGGTTGACCTGATGCTGCCGGGGCAGACGGCTCCTCTGATGGCGTTTCCTTGCCTTACCCTACTTGGCTTATCTGAACTCAGCCAAATATCATTGTTACTTTGTGTGTGTGTGTGAGAATAACTTTAACGCTTTTAAACTGTTATGGAATTTGGGGTCATTTTAATTCTGTAAAGCACTTTATGAACAAAATCTGACTGATTGATCTGAACCATAATCAGAGGGATTTACATTTCAGTGGTGAAAACAAAACCCACTACACGCTGCTGCCAACTAGCTGTCGGCATTTGAATTGCACCAAAAGAAAAGAAAATACACAAATGTTTGCATGTAAATTCTTCCAAAAATTATTTAGAAAATCGATATTTCAGGTAAAAAACATTGCGATGTATCGCCATGTCGATTTTTTTCTTACATCCCTAGTAAAGTGTATGATATGGTCCCTTTAAATATAAAATAATTCATTTGCACGTTTAGGAATCAGCAAAGACAAGGTAATATAACACTGTCTGGTGTTTGTGTGCAGGTGATGCCTCTGAGCTGGTTTAACCTCCTGCTGCCGTACTACGGCCTGGTTCTGGAGCTGGGACCAAACGGAGAGATCGTCAGAACCCTTCATGACCCCGAGGGCCGTCTGACGTGGGCCGTCAGCGACGTCTTCCAGCACAGAGGGAGAACCTACCTGGGCAGCACTGACCTACCATTTCTACCCGTCCTGGAGGGCTGGTGATGTAGCGCTGCTGTGTGAGCTCGGAAACGGTCCGATTTTAAAAATGTTTCCATTTGGAAAGCTCGTGACCATAGGTGAAGGTAGGAACGTAGATCGACCGGTAAACAGAGAGCTTCGCCTTCTGACTCCGCCCTCTGATGGGTATTTCCAGAGGTTAATGGTAAAAATTACACATTGTCACTTTTAATTTGAACTAATATATAAAATTAACTTTTCTGCAAAGAAAGCTAAACAGAGGACTTGGTATATAAAGAGTTGAGTAGTCTCAGCTCTTAGTAAATATTTCTTGTTATCTTCTGTTCTTGTGATAGTTTTGATTCGAGGCTGAAATTTTCATTAGCAAATACGTATTTTAGACGTTAAACCTTAAGAGCTGATGAAAGATGGAAACATGTTGAAATCTTTATTTGGACACAAACACCAAAAATACATCATTAAAATCTATTCTGAAAATAAAACACCAGATTTGAAAGTGCATTAGTGACGAGAAACAACATCCTGGTTTACAAAAACAAGTTGGACACAAAGATTTGAATGTTTTAATTATAGAGCAGCAGCAGGAAACCTAAACTCTGGACATGACAACACATAGGCTGAAATCAAAACA